AACCATCAATGGATTTCGATTTCAACAAATTTTTTTTTGACGTTTTTTTACCTAAATTTATCATTATATATATGCCCTCAATTAAGTTATTTTACTTGCTTGTTTAACACTCTCATGTCAAGAATATTGTTGGTTTTCTACCTAGTTCCACATTCATCTTCATATATACTCATTTCTTTCTCTTATCTATCAAACTCTTTTAGTAATGGAGAATCATGCAACGCTGTTCCTTGGTTCATGTATGACGCCATTCCCCTTCACTCTTTCTCCAAACATGGAAAATTCTCATCTGATGAATATTTTGTCCGATAAGGATGAACCCAACGGAGTACTGCTTGGGTCGAACCAGGAGATCTGTTTCCCAATAGCACAAGTAAAAGAAGTTTCACAAAACAAGAAATTTATACAGATAGATCAAAATGAGGTGAAGAAATCTGGAAAGAAAAATGGTCAGAATAGAAAGCCCAGATTTGCGTTTCAAACAAGAAGTCGAGTAGATATACTTGATGATGGATATCGCTGGAGAAAATATGGTCAGAAAGTAGTCAAGAACAACAAATTTCCAAGGTATTTGTATACTCAATTAATATTTTCATCGAAATTTTTTGATCTTGATTAATCCAATACTCCTATTTTTATTATCATTCGTTCAAATTTTCTTCTTCAAAAATTATATTTTTGATTCTATGTATAAAATAGGCTGAGGCAATAAAACATGTTTTTATATTTCTGTGGCGTGAGATGTGGGAATAATCGAAATCCCACATTGTTCTTGATGTTAATTGTGGTTTCGACATAATCCCACATGGAATGAGATTTTGGTTTCTCACATGTACGAGGAGAGTTGTCTATTATTGAGGTAGTAAAACTGGTTTGAATTCCCCGTTACATAGAAACTAAAAGGATCGATCCCCTTTGACACAAATAAACAGAACTTTCTGCTTGGTGTTTGTCAATTCCAAGTTGAGTGATATTTGAGACTTCCAATTTTTCTCATACTTAAACAATACAAGTTCTGGAGTGTTCCCTATATGGAGCTTGAGTATTTATTGTTGTTCGATATTCTCACATTTCAAATATGAGTGAAATTTTCTCGTCAGCTCTACCCATGGATGTAGGCCAAGTGTAGAACCAACCGTGTTCTTTATCTCCTTCATATTTTACCTAAATGGAGGAGAAAGTAGACTAACTCCGTGGACAAAGTGGTAAAAAAATAAATTCAAAAAAACATCTTCTATCTACGAAAATTTGTCTTTTAAATGTGATGGTTAAATCTTATAGAACTCTTTCCAAAAAAGTCGAGAACTCTAAAGCTCAAAACACTATAAGAAAGGGTACATTGCAGAATCCTCTTAATCAGGTGTCTATCTGAATTAACAACTTTATACGACCCGTTATTACTAGCAATTTTGGGCTGCAATCCTCCGAACATGTAGAAATTAAAATTTTAGTTTGACATTCTGTTTGTTATTGCCACTTAGTTGATGTGAATCAGTGTCAAATGAGTAAGTATACTCATTATTCAATTGTATGTTGTTCCTTGCAGAAGCTATTATCGATGTACTTATGAGGAATGCAATGTTAAGAAGCAAGTACAACGACAATCCAAAGACGAAGGCGTTGTTGTGACAACTTATGAAGGATTGCACACGCATCCAGTACAGAAACTTAGTGACAATTTCGAAGAAATTCTTAATCAGATGCAAACTTATCTTCCTAACTAATTAATATTGAAGTCCTGATCGAGCATATGATCATTGAATTATACGAGTTAGAACTCTATAATATGTAATGGATGCTAGGCATCGACTATATATGCAGTTTATTTTTGTTAAAGTGTAATGTGTTTTTAGTAAAAAAGTCAAAGAAAATTGTACAATAAGTGAGGGCTAAAAATGTAATTTGTAGTATGTTTTTAAGCCACTGTTTGACAACTACTATTTGGGGAAAATAGAGTTTCGAATAGTAAATTTTAGGAAGATGTATGACTAAAAAGTAGAAATTTTTTTCAATTTACGTACAAATTTTTTTACTGTGTAAATATATGATTCTCAAACAAGGGCTAAGTTTTTATAAGTAGCAAATAATATGCCCTAAGTTGTGTAATGCAATTGTTATAGAACATCTTGGAAAAAAAAAAAAAGAAAAGAAAAGAAAAGTTCTCATTTCTCTCGTTATTCCATGTTTCCTCTATTTTTTCAAGGAGAAATATGCTACAGTATTTACTTCCCTTGTATTTCCGAGTTTTATTTAATTGAAATCATATTGAACTAGTTTCATATAAGTGAAACTTGTACGACATAAATTTTTCCCTTGTTTTATAAGCGTGAAACGAGTGCAATTTTACTAAAAATTGTAAAATCAGCCAACATATTTCTGATATCAAAGTATTGCAGGTTATATCCTTTCATTCGTAGCTGAGATTTGAGAGCAAGGGTTTAAAGAAAAATAGGGTGTTTGTAGAAAAGAAGACGGCAAGCACAAGCAGTTCATTTGTTTCGATTTTTTATGGGCAAAATCATGATTTTTGGTGTGTAGAGATGAAGACTTCATTTCTTGCAATAGAAAATGATTTTTGACGCTGAGCAGATTAGTGATTATTCAGCAGGCTAGTTCTACAAGTAAATTCAAAGTTTAGAACACAAGATTAATGCCGAAAATACAGAGAAAATGTCTCTGAAGTTTGAAAAATTTTATTATATCATGCAATGATCAAAATAAGTTCACAAGCCGGACTTTATTACAAAAATTTGAATTTGACCAAGAATGGAAAAATTCTAAAAATCACGCCAAACAAAAATACGGAATAAAATAAGTAGTCTGTGAAAAATTCAACCCAAATCGGGTTAACAATCATCTCCTAACATGCAATCGAAATATTACCAAAAATAGGAAAATTTAACTAAAAATAACAATTCAGAAGGGAAAACAGTAGAATTTGAGATTGAAAATGCCTTTGCTCGATGTCCATGATGTATACGCCGAAACAAGCTTTCCAAATTGTGGTGATAATCGCGATTCTGATAACCGTAGCCGAAGTTATGGCCAAATTA